TAGTATTTTTCTCACTGTAGCCATTCTTTGCTCCAGTTTTTTATGGTACTATGCTTGGAGTCCTCTTGTCTATGATTGTTACCATGCTGGTGTATGTTCCAACATATGTCAAGCGAGAAAATGTTGCATCCTTTATGGTTCACAAATAAAACTATTAATATGACAATTATGTCTTCTACGTGGACAAGTCTAGAGACTCATGAGTTTTGACAGTGTGAGCATCATGATTCTGGTTTGGAAGCAGAATATAAGTTGTGTTTTCTGGTGGTTTTACTTTCTATATGATCGTTTGTTCCTTACTGAATAGACGCCCTTGACTCTGTTGCAAGCTTATAAAACCGTGTGCCTTTTCCATTGTTGAATTAATGTAATGGATTATGGTTATGCTTCCTTAGAAGATCTTGACAGGTCTTCTTTTATGGTCTGTAATTCTTGTTAATCTATCATGTCTTTTTTGCTTGTTCGAATGGACTGATGAAGAAGTAGATACACATTCGACGGAAAGGTTGGGTGGTCACCTTGGCGTTTCGTAGATTGGTGGATAATTCCTTTCTCTGATATTCTTAGAGCTTGGTGAAGAAATCCTTTCTCCGGTATAGTTCCTGGTCTCCCTTCTCTGTTTCAATGAATCTATGGTTGCAGTAGCTGATTTTTGCTGTCCAATTATTGTCGTTTGGTTGCCCATCTTTTGCAGTTATTACATTATTCATTCGATTTTTGCAGACTCCATCCAATATCTTGCCTTCTTCTCCCATATATAAAATGAACTACTGTGAATCATTTCATTCAATCACTGACCACCTCGTTGATGTCATTTTGAGTATGTTGTCCCACAAAATGGTACCTGTAGCCATGTTGCTTTTTGTTGATGCAACCATTCCATCACTCAGATCGCCCTTATGCTATATCCCATCAAGTGAAAATTAAAAATGGAGTCCTAGAGGTGCATTTTGGAATGATTAATTGAAAGTTGAAACCAATTAAATACATGGAATGGTGGCCACGTTAGAGAAATGAAGTTGCCCGAAAGTTGTATCCCAAAGTTCCTATAATTGAATTCATCTCTAATAATTTTAGTTGTCCCTCTGCTCTGTCCTACTCTGCGAAGCACCTAACTGGAATCCTAGGGGTGATTCAATTTGTAAATTAGAATGGTGGCCATATTATTCCTACAAGTGAAATTGTGTCTGTTCATTCAAATTGCCTTTCTATTTCATCCTACTCAGTGAATGCAATAGCTAAAGACCTAGATGGAAACTTTGGAATCATTAATACTGTCTGAGGAAATACATGGATTGGTGGCCATGTTTGATTAAGAAGTTCTAGCGCTCCACGTGATTATTTAGCCATTTTGGATGCCCTTATGCTCTATCTTGTTAAAGATAAAGTCACATTAGGTCTTGTATTTATATTTGAGAGAGGAAGTTGTTACTCTGAATGCTATGTCCCTTTGTGCGCTAATTAGAATTCACTATGCACCATCTCAAGTTCAATGACAGTTTATTAGCTAAATTCCTAATTGGAGTATTATAAGAACTAGTATTGGTTAAATTGGGACTCAGTTTAAAAGCTAGTCTGATTGTCCTTTTGCCTTTTTGATACATCACCTGGAACTGTGTTACTTCCTGCTTTTAAAAGCTAGTCTGATTATCCTTTTTGCCTTCTTTGTTCTTTAGTTGTGGCAAATCATACATGTTGATTGGGGTAAATATACTCGTAGCAGGGATTAAAACTCGAAGCCGTAAATCATTAAGAAGGGTCATAGAAGGGATTGGTGTTCACTAGTTGACGATATGCCAATTGATTACATTTGGTTCCTCCTGTCCTGAACATGCAATTGCTTTTCTGTTCTTTATTATGGAAGTTCCTAGTCTTTACTTGCAAAAATATTTTTTTGGGGGGGAATTTACTTTTCATGTCTCAATTGATTGATACCAGTCACTTGCTTCATCTGCATATTAGAACTCATTTCATTGGTATCATGTGGCTAAAGAGGTAAGGTACTTGGGAAAGGTTTTAGACTGAAGGCATCGAGCTAGATTGCATTTCTTCTGGTTTCAAACATAATGCATGTTGGATGTATCTGAGACAGATTATTGCTTAGTCCTTGCTCTTTCTGTTGAACTTTGTTTGTTCCAAACAGACTGCAAGTTCACAGGGTATCTATCCTAAACATTCATGTGTTATACCCCGTTACCATTCTGCTGGTCTGTAAGTAAAGATTTGTATCTTAGGAGGGATCTTGCTTTGTCCTGCAGGCTCTTCCTGTTGGTTTCATTTCCAATTTTCACTTTTCGTAGTTTTTATATACAATTGAAATGAAGCATTTTGCTTTCAAGTCATTTCTGGTCTTCCTTCCAACCCTTGATATTGGACTCGGCTTGGTTGAAATATATAAGTTCATTACATGCCTAAGTGAAATTTCAGATGGACATAGAAATTCTATTTTAGTCTTCTGTATTATATAAGATATCTGAGTGCTAACTGTCAATGATCATGATGTCTAGCAGCCTACTGTTTTTTCTAGTAGAAAGGAAAGATCTTCATAGAACATCTCTGTTTTCTGACCTTAAAATTTTATCTGCGACACCATCTTGTTCTCAACTCTTCCCTCAATTGTAGCTTGTTTTGGAAAGTCAGAATAGCCCTACCTCTGATAAGTTCCTCTCTGTTGCGGCATCTTCTTGCAGACTTCAGGATGCTAATTCTTCTGTGCTGCTCATGTCCAGTGATGATTTCCTTTGAATTCTTGAAAGTATAGGTGGTATTCAGTTCTTCCGCTGACGTCCTGAAGTTGTATTTGAAGATCAGTCGCATTACACTAGGAAAGAGCAGTAGGGAATCAACCCAGTGAAGGATGAACTTTCATATATGGCTCGACAAAGAATGGGACTGTTTGGTCATTGGATACTGTAGCAGATTCTCTTGTGATTTGCATACAAGGGTAACTGGCTTAGTCCCTAGACCGCCTGGAGACTTCGGCAATCTTCTGCCAAATCTTTGATGGCTTTTTGCACCACCATAAAAATGCTGGTACTCGCCTAACTACGAAGAATTTGACAATTTCTGAATGTCAAGTCAAGCCAAGTAACAAACAACTGGGGAGGCTGGAGTCATGTTAAGGTTTTGCCCTTTCAACTTGTGCATGAAGATGGCGGCGAACACGTTGAAAATTCTGGATCTTTCTGTTCTGAGTGCCATTTCCTTACCTAGCTCCCTCACTTACCCAAAACTGAGGGTCTAGAAAGGTTATATTTTGATGGTGTCAGAGCGAGGTCCGGGGAGCTAGATATTCAAAGCTGAGAGGAACTTAAAAGTGCCGCATCTGATGAATTGTGAAGTAAGAAGCATAACTGGGGGAACTATTGGGATGCTGAAGGGGCTTCGGGAGCTTGATGTTAGGTATATTGCGTGTGAGAATAGTCTAAGAGGTGTACTTGCTGATATTGGCAAATTAACATCTCTTAAAATCTTGAGCAGGGGTATATTGTTAACTCTATGTACAAATGGCTAACCTCTACAAAGTTTCCAGGTGATTTGGGTTTCCCCAGCAAGGTCTTTTGGTGTTCGGAGATCCCACTCAAGGTGTGTACTTCTCTATGGCTTGCTTACTACAGGCGCATTCTAACTCAGCATAGTTTGCAACATCGTGGTGGCTGCTCGCTAATAGATGCATCCTTTGCATCAAAGCCGAGGAGTCTGCTGATCATCTTCTACTCCACTGTGATTAAGCCAAAAGAGGAAGGAATTCTCTGTTACTTATGATGCAGGGGATCATTCAGCAGTACAGAGATCCTTGTTGAGATGGTTAAAGGGTGGTCATCGTCAACAACAACTGTGTGGCATGAATGGTTGAATCGATGTATTCTACATGCCTATTGTTGAGAACTGTGGAAAGAACTTAATAAGCTTACTTTTATGGATCAGTATAGTACTTGGCAGATTGTTACCCAAAGAATTGGATTCCGGCTTTTACACTGACTATCTGCTACTTGGGTGATTAACAGGCAACAGGGTGAAGATTGGTTGTCTTCTCTCCAAAGAACAACTCATATAATGCAACAAGCTTGATTTTTGGCCGACCCTTGTTCTGTGGTTGGACAGGAGTCTTATTTTATCTGTGTACCATGGTCTACTGTGTACTACCAGGGGTCTTGTTCTGTGGTTGGGCATGAGTCTTAATTTCATTAAAAAAAAAACTTGAGAATGATAGGAACTTTGCAAACATGGGAGCAAGGTGTGCGAGTGGATTAAGCTTTTCGCTAGTTTGAAGGTGCTAAGCACTTCGTCTTCAATTGCAAACATTTTCAGAACTTTTGGGGTTGGAAGAATTGACAGTTGAATGCAGTGGCATGGGCTTCAGATCCCTGTAACTTACCACATGGATGGGTGGAAGTTATCCAAGTTGAAACAAACTTCATTTCCACAAATCCTACTGTCACTCCTGGTTCTCAGCTGCTCTGCTGATGCCTCTGCTCATCTCTAGCCAGCCACATTTCAGTCTCTACAACTGGAGTAGCTGTTAAGTCTAGAGAATCTCGAGAACTTAATTGAATTACCCATGTTTTACTGCCCAATGCTTCGAGATATCCAAGGCCTTAACGGGCCGAGATCTTTGGAAGCTCTCGAAATAGTTGATGGGACAAATCGGGGCTGAAATCATTGCAAGTGTTCTAGGTTATTTGTGCTGACTCTGAGGGTTTAACTCCCGTCCAAGGATTTGGGAATCTCTTATGTTTGAGAAAGTTGCAGACTTTAAGGATGTCGACTTGCCCTCGTCTCACGACACTATCATCCCATGAAAAGCGGCTTGACATCTAAATAGTACTTGAATCGTGGCCTCAATTCAGAGACTACCTTCTCTGTCAAAGCTAGAAGTAGTAATCCAACTTGATTGTGTCTGATGCTCCGAAGTTATGTGTGATCGAGGTTCTCGCTGATTTGCAATCTTTGGAACACGTAACGATCAGTCGATGCGGAATAACAGCAATAATACATAGTTCCTAAAAAAAAAAACCCAATCCTCTCCCCCCTCTCCCCACGTTGGGCGAGTGGGTGGGCTGTTCGCCTTCGTGCGTCCATGGAACGAGTTGTTTCCGCCATCGTCTTTCGCCGGTTCCGGCACCTCCCCACCGGAATTGGGATAAATAGGGGAGCGCAGCAACATGCGATTGGGGCTTTTCTCTGTATCCTCTCTGTTAATCCTTCTCCTCTTGCTGTAGGCGTTCAATTGGGATTCCCTTACTCCGATTCAATGGCGGCCATTCGGTTCAATGACGCGGATGTTGCAGTGGGTGCACAACGGATCGACCAAACTCTGGTCGGTCGGCTTTGTGGACCGCTTCCATCTCTGTCGACCCTGCGAACGATTGTGGGGAGGGTCTGGAAATGCGATTTCTCGATGGCGGTTGTGGAGTGGGACCTTCTGCCGTTCGTGCTCCCTGACCCGGAGACAGCGCTTAGGATTCGAGCTGGGTCGCCATGGATTTTTGAGAAGTTCCTCATCCAGGTCAGGAAATGGGAGACCCCAACGGCAGAGGTGGCCGCCGACCTCATCAGAGTGCCTCTTGTCGCTCAAATCTAGGGAGTGCCTTATGATTGCTGTACCGAGAGGATGGGATCCTTGCTTGGGGCTGCTATGGGACCTGCAGAGGCGGCCACAATCCACCGATCGGTTTCCTCCGGGGGGCTATACTTCAGGACGAAGATCACTCTGGACCTTCAACTCCCCCTCCCGGATGAGATTTCTGCTGCTCATGAGGACCCTTCGAGAGGGTGTTTCAAGGCCAAGGTGAAGTTTGAATCCCTTCCCCAATTCTGTTATCTTTGCGGAGTGATTGGTCATGTGAATAGGAACTGTCTGCGGAAGGACGATCTGGACGGACAACCTCCAAGATATGGAAAGCATATGGTGGCGCAGGAGTTTGGCCCGAGAGTGAATGAGAACACGCTGGCTCGGCGACGGCGTAGGTTTGTGTGGACGCTGGCCGGAAATCGCCCTGGTAACCAGATGGCGGCTGTTTCCACCGGTAGGCGACCACGATCAGGTGAAGCCAACGATGGGAGGCGGCAGTCCTCCACTCTCCACCTAGGAATGACATCTCATCTGGGGCAACTATGCATCTCGGCCCCCCAGGGTAGCCTGCCATCCTTTCCAGTGGTGAGTACTCTGCTACATGACAAGCGAGTGACTGAACATCAGGAGCCAGCAGCTAAAAGAGCCCGGCTCGGAACAAATGGCGACGAGGCAGGTCGGGACATGAATCTGGAGGTGGTGGCAGCCGGCCTTGATCGGTCCCAAGCTGATCCATGAGCATACTCGCTTGGAATTGCAGGGGATTGGGAGGCCCCTGACAATTCCAGTCCTGAAGGAGGTTCTATTCCGGGAATCTCCGCTACTGGTGTGCTTGAGTGAGACAAGGAGGGATGATGAATTTGTGATTCAGCAATTTGGTAATTTAGGCTTCCCTGAGGAGCGTGTACATAGTGTGTCCAATAATGGCAGTGGCTTAGTCGTTGCGTGGTCTTCTAGTTTAGCTTGTACAGTCTCAGTAGAGTCTCTTGGCTTTTTATTTGTCGAATGTGAGCACTTCTCGTTGGGGAGATTTGGTGTTGTTTTTGTGCATTTAGATTGTGAGGAAGGCCTCCGCCAGTATCAATTGAATGAAATTTCTTACTTGGTTTCTTTGTATGAGGATCCTGTGTTTGTGTTGGGAGACTTCAACTGCCTTCTTTCTAGTGGCGAGAAGCGCGGCGGTCGAACTCCTTCCCCGACAGCCCTTGCACAGCTCAACCTCTTCTTGGGGGCGGCAGGACTCCATGATTTGGGGTACATTGGACCCCAGTTTACATGGTCAAACCGACAATCACATTCTGACCATATTCAATCCAGGCTGGATCGATGTTTGGGGACAACATCAACAAGTGTGGCTTCGGCGACTGCCTCGGGCCCCCTTTCCCAGCACCCAACTCGCTACTTAACATAGACTTGCTCCACCTGCAAAGAGAGGAAGGGGGAACGCTCGACTGACTAAAAGGGAGGGGGAAGAGCAGGCTAGTGAGCCAGCTGTTTCTTTTAGCAAAAAGCGTCTTTGAAAAGCCCAGCTTAGTAGAGAGATTGGCTCACAGGCTCAAATCGTGGGTTTTGGGAATAGTAGAACTCAGTAGCTGACTTGGCCCAGCTACCCCATTTGATTTTACCAAGGTTTATTATGAGCCCGAAAAGCGGGCGAAGGTTTAGAATATGTGAGCCCGTAGGAAAGCGACTTGAATGGTCGAGATCTTTTAAAAGAGTATACAAGTACTTATTTTAATCATTTTCATACGTCAGTTTCTTTAGGTGTTATCCTAAGGAGAGGAATGGAAAAAATTCTTTTCGATCTTCTACCCGGTAGACTAAACACCAAGCCAATCTCGACAAAAAAAGTACAAGCAATCAACTGGGAGAGATAATAACCTTGTGCTGACTTTATGGCCTGAGTTGCAGGTACACCATTTAACTGATAGGGGATCTGATCACAGGATGCTACTGCTGCAATTTGTAAAAATGGAGGGCCACAGGGCTCGACGATTCCACTATGATCGGCGATGGGACTTCAACCCGGATGTACCCCCTCTAGTACACTCGGCATGGCAACAGCCTACTGGCGGAACACCGCTTTTCCAGGTACAAACCCGACTAAAGCATGTCAGGCAGGAGCTGCTTGGATGGGCCAAGGCTGGTACAACAAATTCGGCCCGGCAGATCCGCGAGTTGAGAGGGGCTATTGACGATGAAAGGGAGGCTGCTACAGTTGATTGGTCAGCTATCACCAACTTGGAGAAGCAGCTTGTGGAAGCCTACAAGCAGGAGGAATTGTATTGGAAGCAGAAGTCGAGGATCAACTGGCTCCACGGTGGGGATGCGAACACCCATTTCTTCCACCTGACTACAATGCAAAAGAGACGCCAGAATTTCATTTCCGGACTGCTAGATGAGCAAGGGACTCTTCAAACTGTCGAGTCAGTCAAAGGGGAAGTATCAGTAACATACTTTGAATCTTTATTTACATCGAATGGATTGAACCCTACTGATTTTATACACAATTTGAATCTTCCTCTGAAGGTGACAGCGACAATGAATGATCATCTTACTATGCAGGTGTCCCAAGCAGAAATCAGAAACGCAGTGTTTAGCATTGGGAAAGGGCAATCCCCTGGCTCTGATGGCTTTACTGCTGCATTCTATCAAAGGTTTTGGGAGGAGATAGGTTGGGATGTGTCTGAAGCCATTTTGTCCTTCTTCCAAACAGGCCGACTACTTCATAGTGTGAATCACACATTACTGACGCTTATCCCAAAAGTGGCCAATGCTGACTCCATGCGCCAAATGCGGCCTATTGGGCTATGCCAGGTTTTATACAAAATAATTGCCAAAATCCTTGCATCAAGGCTAAGTTCCGTTCTTCCTCAGATCATTAGTCCATTTCAAAATGGTTTTGTTAAAGGGCGTTGCATTTCCGATAACATTCTTATTGGCCAGGAGGTAATGCAATTTCTCATGACCAAGGTCCGGGGACAAGACAAATGGATGGCGTTAAAGCTCGACATGGAAAAGGCGTATGACCGAGTGGAATGGGAGTTTCTTTTTCAGGTTATGAAATCGATAGGCTTTTGTGAGAAGTGGATGGTATGGATCAAAGCATGCATTTCAACAGTCCACTTTTCAGTTCTGCTCAATGGAACGCAGTATGGCTACTTCCAACCTCAGAGGGGGATTCGCCAGGGGGATCCGTTATCCCCATTGTTGTTTGCCATCTACACCGAAGCATTTTCTGCCATACTCAGCCAAGAGATTGCATCGTCCTCCCTTCATGAGTTAAGACTTCACAGGTCAGCTCCTCCCCTCTCGCATCTGTTTTTTGCAGATGACTCCTACTTGTTTCTAAGAGCATCTATTCCTGAATGTGCAACTTTAATGCATTTGCTTTCTGAGTATGAGCTGTATAGTGGTCAACGGGTTAATCTGCATAAATCAGCTATGTGTGTTAGTGGCAATGTCTCAGAGCAAGAGCTCCATGCAATAAGCTCATTTCTAGGGGTGGGAATTATGCAGCCTGATGACAGGTACCTGGGCCTTCCTTCCCAAATCCGCCGCTCTAAATCCCTATCTTTCCAATTCATTGAGGAAGATTTGGCGGCTCGCATCAGGAATTGGAAGTCAAAGGCCTTATCTCTGGCGGCGAAGGAGGTTGTCATCAAGGCGATTGGGGTGGCTGGTCCAATCTATGCCATGTCAGCCTTCCGTCTTCCTCAGGAAACGTGTCATCGATGCAACGGCCAGTTGTCAAAGTACTGGTGGGCGGGTCAGGATAAGGAGAAAGGGATTCATTGGAGTTCGTGGAGTGCGATCTGTCAAAGCAAATTTACTGGGGGGCTTGGTTTTCGAGACTTTAACAGGTTCAATGTTGCGCTTCTAGCTAAGCAAGCTTGGCGAATACTATTCAACCCTTGCAGTACCATTGCTCGCCTGTACAAGGCTCGCTATCACCCGCGAGATGACTTCCTTGAAGCATCTTCAGGAGCTCGGCCATCCTGGGCTTGGCAGAGTGTTTTGGAGGGGAGAGATCTGCTGAAGCGTGGCTTGCGGTGGCAGGTTGGAGACGGGACGCAAATCCGGGTTCTACATGACAATTGGATGCCTTCGTCTCCCCCGTCATGCCCTCAACTCCGACCAGATCTGCACTCTTGCCCTTCTCTAGTTTCAGAACTCATTTGTCAGGTGTCTCATTCGTGGAACAAAGAACTCCTGGATTCCCTTTTCATGCCTGCGAGTGTGGACCTTATTCTAACCATTCCTCTTCCTGTAGCCTATACAGTAGACAGAGTGATTTGGCATTACTCCCCGTCTGGAATTTATACTGTTAAAACAGGTTACCACCTTCTTTCATCCGAGTACAACCTGCGGCACCCACCACCTCTTCTCCCTTTCGAATCGAGGTTTTGGAAGCTTCTTTGGAGTCTGCCGGTGCCGCCAAAGTTGAGATTCTTCTTCTGGCGGGCTGTCCGTGGCTTCCTACCCATTCAAACTGTCCTGTTCACCAAAACTCTGGTGTCAACTACAGAGTGTCCAATCTGCTCGGCGGAACCGGAATCTTTCTCCCACTTCTTCTTTGGTTGCAGGGTGGCGCGCGGGTTATGGAGCTTGGCGAACCGAGAAGGCATGTGCAGTCATCTCGGCGGGATGGCTCCGGATGATACTTGGAATACTCTGTTTTTTTCCATGAACTTGTCCAAAATTGAAATTGCAGATGTGATCTTTCTTCTATGGAGGATTTGGAAAGCTAGATGTTGGTCGGTTCATGGCCACATTCAATATTTGCCACAGCCTTTATTCCGGCAGTTTCAGAGGCAGCTGGAAGAGTGGCGAACAGCAGAATAGGTGGCGCCAACCATCCCAAGACAAGGCCCTAGAACAGCACGCGGCCCTCCTAATGGCATTCAGACACCGGCGGGGCTTCCTTCCACAGCAATTAAAGTCTGGTTCGATGGTGCAGCTAAACGTGGACGGGGTGGTAGTGTTGGCTTTGTTGGTTTTCAAAGTACAGGTAATGTCCTTTTTGCCTTTGGGAAGTACTATGAAGGGTTGGATGAGCCCTTTATAATGGAATGTTTGGCTTTGAGAGATGCCTTACAATGGTGTTTGACCCATGGTTTTGTGTGTGTAAAATTTCATGGGGATTCGCAACTACTGATACGGCGGATGGTGGGGGAGGATTTTGCTCATGATCTAGGTGGAGCTGTACTTGAAGATACTCGGGTGTTAGCTGCTCAATTCAGTTGGATCTCTTTCTGTTTTGTTTCACGTCGACTTAATAGGGCCGCCCATCTTGTGGCACATAAAGCCCTCTTATCGGGAGTTCGACTACTGGTCGACTCCCGCGCTGTACTTGACTCTTCTCTTTGACTTTCTTGTTACCGCTATTTTTGGAGAAAAAAAAAACGATCAGTCGATGCGCATCTCTGTGAAGATTGCCTGTTGGTCTTTCTGGGTTCGTTGACATCCAAGGATCCGCGAAGTCAACTGGTCTCTCTGCTCTAAGCAACCTACAGGCTAACGTTAGTTGGTGGCCAAATTCTGGTTCCACATATTCGTACTAGGGGTGGGCATTGGTGCGGTCTGATCGCACCGGATCTCATATGCGGTCAAACCAAATTGCACCATTTAGCTTGCCGTCCAACCTGAGTTTACATGTTACACGGTTCGCGGTCGGCTCAAACTGAAACCGCGTGGTTGCGGTTCAAAACCGACAAACATGACAACCATTTCCCTATAATTGTGTGCAATATTATACTCAGTAGGATGCTTACATCTGAAGCATGATGAGTGACTTTTGTCTTTCTATTCCATGTCAGTGTGCTCAAATTTCAATAGTATGCTCTGTTTTATCAGTTCTACATTCTTAACTGCATCTGTGCATCTCAATTATGTGAAGGAAATGGAAGGGGCCCTCTCTCTCTCTCCCTAATTCAGCAGCCTGTAGGGAAGAGAATCATGTCTTTATTTTGTATATAACTGTGCGATTGCGAGATCTTGTTGATGGAGAGGAAGGGTAGCTCTGTTTTGATGGCGCGAGAAACAGAGTCAGAGTCCAATTCCTTCCAGCAATAGTCATGAGTAGAAATGTGGCTCTGTTTCGGTGGTGACAGGAGAAGTAGAGTCGATACTCTGGCCGGAAGTAGTAATTTTATTTACTCAAGTTCAAGTATAAGTCAAAATGAATAGCGGTGAAATATGTGATGCGGTGTAAATCACACCAAATTGCTAATTATGCGGTTTGATTTGACCAAATCATTAATATTATGGTTGAACATGCGGTGTGATATGGTGTGGTTTATATTGATACGGTGCGATTGCCCACCCTTAATTCTTACGACTTAGGCTCGAACTCAGATTTGCGAGACAGCAGCATGTGGTTCAGAGTTTGCCCTCTCAAAGGATTGAAGGAGGACTGTTATATATGTGACATTTTTGGATGACCGCGAAATCTCGAATCCTGGAGGTTTTCATTTTACCACTGCATGTTAATGCTGCATCCTATTGTTTGCATTTGATATTCATATTGAGATGTAGATTGTCAAAAGAAACGTTAGCCTTCAAGGATTTCCTCTTTCCTCAGCAGACTCATGATATGGAAAAATTAAACTAGAATTAGGCAGGTCAAATTTTGAAGTGCTACCCTATCATCATAAATGCCATATAGATAATTAATTAGAGTCCGTGACAAAAAAAAAAAAAAGGCAATGGCATAAATATTATATTGCGCAAATTAACTATTATTTATGCATAAAATATGTTCTTTACACAAATTGATGAACCAGTTTTTCATGTAAACTCATCCAATTATCGTACTATTTAAATAAACATATTAATTTTTTGACATGACTAGGAGAAACTACTTTATTTTTATGAATACTGAACGCATTTATCCATTCATTTTGGACTCATCTTTGATGAAATTTGGGCAATGCCTCTGCTTCTAAGCATAGTTTATAAATACTTCGGTTAATACACATATATGAACGCATCTATTTATACGTAAAAAAAAATTCGCTCATTTTATTTTTTCCGTTCATCTAATGGCGCTTGTACTAAATATGTACAAAACCTGCATAACATTATTAATATTCGTATTTAATTAATAAAATTGATAATTTGAATATTACTTATAATTTTATTATTTTTAAATATTTAATTTCATTTATTTTACCACTACTGGCATATCATTAAATGTATCATTAATTTACATACAAAATAAAATACTCGTACACATTTTATACGTAACTCACATATCCCGTACAATATTTCACTAACTATCCTTCTAAGTTCCAGCCTTCCAGGTCATCCGTCTACTATGATTGACCCTCGGCAGTCAAAGAGTATCAACCGGAAATAAGAGGGAACAAACCGGACAAATGTGAAACGGATTAGTCGTCCCTTTGGCTTCATCAATCGAACCCAAATTCATTACATCAAGTGATCCAGCCGATGATACTTCTTCTCCCCATAAACTAATCCTCCCATTTATTTAATTGCAATTTTCTACTGGAACAGAGCATTTGTCATAGACTCATAGTGTAAACAAAGTATAAAAAAAATATATTAATCGTTAAGTCTCGCGAAAGCAATTGTCCTCAAGTGAACAAGGTAAAAAATACTCCGGCTGTGCATATTTCAATTCCGGTCGTCCATTTTTTTTGTGTGTGTATAAAACCGAGTTTCATGTCAACCCCAGTAGAGTTCATAACAAATCAAAGTTCCAAGAATCAAATACAACAGCGAGCAAATATGTTCTCCGCATCCGAGCAACAGCAGAGTTTATCCGTAGAGGATTACTTCACCTCCACCCTCAACGACACAAGCTTCGAAGATTTCCCACTTCCAGCCGCCGACGAAAGCGAAACGGCGTCGCTTCACCAACCGCTGTCGAATGCGCGCCCGTCGGTGGAAGATCTGGTCAGAATCGCCTCGTCGAAATTCATCCAGTCACGCTCCGTCGCCGCCTTGCCCCAGTTTCCAGAGCTCACCGCCCTCTCCGAGGAAGAATGGCAGAGCGTGGAGCTCGCTCGGCTGCTACTAGAAGCAGCCGAGGAAATCGGCGCGCGCCGCTTCGCACGCGCGAAGCCGCTGCTCGAGCGGTGCGACTGGGCTTCCTCTCCGACGGGAACTCCGGTGCAGAGGCTGGTCTTCTACTACTCCCGCGCCTTGCGTGACCGAATCGATCGCGAAACTGGACGAATCGCGTCGCGAGACGTGGCGAGAGAGCAGTCGTTCGATCTGTACAAGGTCATGATGACGCCGAGCATCGCGGCGGCGGAATTCCACAGGAAAGTCCCCTTCGCGCAGGTGGCCCAGTTTGCCGGGATCCAGTGCATCTTCGAACACGTGGAGCGATCCCGAAACATCCACATCATCGACCTCGGGATACGGTGCGGGCAGCAGTGGACGATCCTGATGCACGCGCTGTCGTCGAAGAAACGGTGTCGCATCAAGCGGCTCAAAATAACTGCTGTCACGACTCTGGCCAAGGGCCCGATCGAGGAGATTGGGGAACGGCTAGTGGGGTTCGCCCAGACCATGAACCTGCACTGCTGCTTCGAGGTGATCGCGGTTAGGGATTTCGCGGAGCTGAACCGGGCCCACTTCACGCTGGTGCCGGGTGAGGCTGTTGCGGTGTTCGCCGAGCACGTGGTCAGCACGCTGACCGAGCCTTCGAACCGGCTCGACTCGTTGGTTCGGGCGGTACGGAGCCTGAACCCGAGGGTCATGGTCGTGACGGAGGTGGAAGGGAACCAGAACTCGGTGGCATTCGTGAGTCGGTTCGTGGAGACGTTGTTCTTCGCGAGCGCGTACTTCGATTGCCTCGAGAAATGCCTGGGTGGTCAGGACGAGCCGCTCAGGGGGTTCGCCGAGTCGACCCTGATGGGAGAAGGCAGCAAGATTGTGCTGGCGATCGAAGGGCCCGAGAGGATTATTAGGAACATGAAGGTGGACGTCTGGAGGACTTATTTTCAACGGTTTGGAATGGCAGAGGCTAAGTTGAGCTCGTCGTCGTTGTATCAGGCAGAGCTAGTGGCAAAACGACTGCCGAGTTGGAGTCCTTGTACGGTTGGGATGGATGGGAAGAGCTTGATCGTAGGGTGGAAGGGTATGCCAATTAAATCGGTTACTGCTTGGAAGTTCTGAACACTAGTCAGTTTTCTTAATGTGTTAATGTGTGGAAGGGAATTTCAGACTTATACATACCATGTCAAAATTAAATGGCCTTTTTAGATAACAATCCAACTTGGTGAGGGTGTTACATAAGAGATTGGAAGACATAATATAGTGTATTTATTGATACACCAATATATTATAGAATTCACTCCAAAATTTTATGGTTCATTTGCTTTGTGGATTTGAGCCAAATCCATGATCATCATGAATTTATCATAAATTCATTGTTTGTTCTATATTTTGGTGGTTCCCGTTCGAAAACTGCCAAAAATGGAGCTGAATAAAATCCACCCAAATCAGTGCTTAATAGACATAATCATCAATGAAGAATAACCTCAAGGACGAATACATGATCTGTTGCCTTCAAAATTCAAGAAAAATGGTCTTTTGAAATAAATGCTCAAAAAATTATGAAATTACCCATTGAATAAATGTGTCCAAATTGGCGATTAATAGACTTCATCATTGATGGAGAATAACCTCAAGCCGAATTTGTGATCTGTTGCCTTCAAAATCCAAGGAAAATGGTCTTTCGATAAAATCTCTCAAAATCTGTGATTGTTAAAATGGCTTTTTGAAAAAAATCACCAAAAAGTACGAAAAAGCCCTTAGGAAATTTTGCGCCCAAATCAGCGACCAATAGACATTATCAAAGATAGAGAATAGCCCGAGGCCGAATCCGTGATGTGTATGTACCCTTCAAATCCAAGGAAAATGGTCTTCCGGAAAATCTTCCGAAATCTGTAATGGTATCCCCTTGGAATCTGCCAAAAATGGCCCCGGAAAAAATTCGCCCAAATCGGTGCTTAATAAACTAAGGGGTCGTTTGGAAGTTGCGATTGTTAAATAGATGGATTGTTGTGAATGCATATATAATATTATACATGTATTGTCGAATTTGATGCATTGTAAAATACACCGTTTGGTATGTGTGATTGTGTATATCACATCTGCTAAAAACTGAGACAAAACAATCCCAACTCAACTGTCTCAACAATCACAACGAAAAGTTGAGATATAACAATCACTCATTTTGAGTGTTTGTTTCTGTCACATCACAGAAACAACCCATGTATTGTTTCTGCTGAAAAATAAAAAAAACAATGAATTCTAAACAATACATGTATAGTAACAATAACAACAAAAAAATCACAACTTCCAAACGACCTCTAAATCAACAGTGAAAAATAGCATTAGGCTGGATTCGTGATCTATAGCTTCAAAGTCCAAGTAAAATGGCTTTTCGAAAAAAAACTTCAAAATTTTACGAAAATGCCCTGCTAAAATTTTTGCCCAAATCGGCGACCAATAGACTTTATCATCGGTGGAGAATAGCCTTAGGCCGAATTCACGATTTGTATGTACCCCTTTAGTATCTGCCAAAAATTATCCTGAAAATAATCCGCCTAAATTGGTGCTTATTAGTCTTAATCAACTCTGAAAAATAGCCTCAGACTGAATCCGTGATCTGTATCCTTCAAAATCCAACTAAAATTGCTTTTCGAAAATTTTGCAAAAAAATGGCCTTCGAAAATTTTCTGCCTAAATTGTCGACCAATAGACTTTATTATCAGTGGAGAATAGACCTAGAGCGAATATGTGATATGTAGCCTTCAAAATCCAAGGAAAATTGCATTTTGAAAAAGCGCCTAAAATCTATGATGGTACTCCTTTACAATCTACAAAAAAAATGGCCCAACGAAAATCCGCCCAAATCTGTGCTCAATAGACTTAATCAACACTGAAGAATAGCCTCAGAGCGAATTCGTGATCTGTAGCCTTCAAAATCGAACTAAAATGACTTTTAAAAAAATTGCCAAAAAATACGAAAATGCCCTCCTAAAATTTTCTTCCCAAACGGAGACCAAAAGACTTTATCATTGGTGGAGAATAGACTCAAACTAAATCCGTGATATGTACGTAGCCTTGAAAATCCTAAGAAAATGGCATTTTGAAAAATCGCCGAAATCTGTGTTAGTACCCCTTTAGAATATGTCAAAAATGGCCCCGGAAAAAATCTGCCAAAATCAGTGCTTAATAGACTAAATCAACAGTGAAGAAAATTCTCAGGCTGAATTCGTGATCTGTAGCCTTCATATTCTAACTAAAAAGGCTTTTCAAAACAATCGCCAAAATATTACAAAAATGCCCTTCGACAATTTTCGCCTAAATCGGCGACCATTAGACTTTATCATCGGTAGAGAATAGCCCCAGACCGAATCTGTGATATGTAGCCTTCAAAATCTAAGAAAAATGAAATTTTGAAAATCCCCCGAATTTCGTGATAATACCCTTTGGAATCTACCAAAAATAATGTCGGGAAAGATCCCCCAAATCAGTGCTTAATAGATTTAATCAATATTGACAGATAGCCTCAGGCCGAATCTGTTATCTGTAGTCTTTAAATTCCAACTAAAATTGCTTTTCAAAAGAATCACCACAAGTTACAAAAATGCCCTTCGAAAACTTTCCGCCTAAATTGGCAATCATTATACTTAGTAACCGGTGGAGAATAGCTACAAGCTAAAACAGTATTCAGTAACCTTCAAAATCCAACAGATTTTGGCGGATTTATTCCTAGTCAATTTTTGGCAAATTCCAAAGGAGTATCATAACACATTTCGGGCAATTTTTCCGAAATGTCATTTTCTTTCGATTCTGGAGGCTACCGATCACGAAATCAGGTTGAGGTTATTCTCCACCGATAATGAAGTCTGTTGATCCTATTCTCCACGGATGATAAGTCCATCACGCAACGAGTTTGGCTAATTTATTTTCGGATGGCATTTTCAAAAAAATTTGGGCGACGAAAGGCCATTTTATTTGGATATTGAAGTCTACAGATCACGAAGTTGGCCTGAGGCTGTTCTTCAACGATCATTGAGTCATTTAAGCACCGATTTGGGCGGATTTCTTCCAGGTCAATTTTTGGCAGATTCCAAAGGGGTATCATCACACATTTCAGGCAATTTTTCCAAAATGTCATTTTCTTTCGATTCTGGAGGCTACATATCACGGAATCAGGCTGAGGCTATTCTCCACCGATAATGAAGTCTATTGATCCTATTCTCCACGGATGATAAGTTAATTAAGCACCGATTTGAGCCAATTTATTTTCGGATGGCATTTTCTTAATTTTTGGGCGACGAAATGCCACTTTCTTTGGATATTGAAGCCTACAGATCACGGATCCGGTCCGAAGCTATTCGTCAACGATGATTGAGTCTATTAAGCACCGATTTGAGCGGATTTATTCCGGGTCAATTTTTGGAAGTTTCCAAATGGGTACTACCATCACAGATTTATGGCGATTTTTCCGAAATGCCATTTTCTTTTGATTCCGAAGGCTACAGATCACAAAATCAGGTCGAGGCTATTTCCACTGATAATGAAGTCTATTGATCCTATTCTCCACGGATGATAAGTGCATTAATCACCGATTTGAGCCAATTTATTTTAGGATGACATTTTCGTAATTTTTTGGGCCACGAGATGCCATTTTCTTTGGATATTGAAGGCTACAGATCACTTATTTGGCTAGAGGCTATTCACTAACGATGATTGAGTCCATTAAGCACCAATTTGAGGGATCTATTCCGGATCAATTTTTGGCAGATTGCAAAGGGGTACCATTACAGATTTTCAGGTGATTTTTCCGAAATGCCATTTTCTTTCGAGGCTTAAGGCTACAAATCTCGGAATCAGGCCGAGGCTATTCTCCAACGATAATGAAGTCTATTGATCCTATTCTCCACGGATGATAAGTCCATTAAGCACCGATTTGGGCCAATTTATTTTCGGATGACATTTTCATAATTTTTTGGACTATGAAATGCCATTTTCTTTGGATATTGAATACTACAGATCACGGATTCGGCCTGAGCTATTCTTCAACGATGATTGAGTCCATTAAACTTCGATTTGGGGGGATTTATTCTGGGTCTATTTTTGGCAGATTCCAAAGGTGTACCATCACAGTTTTCAGGCGATTCTTCCAAAATGTCATTTTCTTTCGATTCTGGAGGCTAAAGATCATGGAATCAGGCTAAGGCTATTCTCCACCAATAATGAAGTCTATTGATCTTATTCTCCGCGGACGATAAGTCCATTAAGCACCGATTTGAGCCAATTTATTTTCGGATGACATTTTCGTAATTTTTTGGGCGACGTAAGGCCATTTTCTTGGGATATTGAAGGCTACAGATCACGGATTCGGCCTGAGGCTATTCTTCAACGATGATTGAGTCCATTAAACTTCGATTTGGGGGGATTTATTCTGGGTCAATTTTTGGCAGATTCCAAAGGTGTACCATCACAGTTTTCAGGCGATTCTTCCAAAATGTCATTTTTTTCCGATTCTGGAGGCTAAAGATCATGGAATCGGGCTAAGGCTATTCTCCACCAATAATGAAGTCTATTGATCTTATTCTCCGCGGACAATAAGTCCATTAAGCACCGATTTGAGCCAATTTATTTTCGGATGGCATTTTCGTAATTTTTTGGGCGACGTAAGGCCATTTTCTTGGGATATTGAAGGCTACAGATCACGGATTCGGCCTGAGGCTATTCTTCAACGATGATTGAGTCCATTAAGCACCGATTTGAGGAGATTTATTCTGGGTCTATTTTTGGCAGATTCCAAAGGGGTACCAACATAGATTTCGGGCGATTCTTCCGATATGCCATTTTCTTTCGATTCTGGAGGCTAATGATCACGGAATCAGGACGAGGCTATTCTCCACCGATAATGCAGTCTATTGATCCTATTCACCATGGATGATAAGTCCATTAAGCACCGATTTGAGCCACTTTATTTTCGGATGACATTTTCGAAATTTTTTGGACGACGAAAGACCATTTTCTTGGGATATTGAAGATTACAGATCACGGATTCGGCCTGAGGCTATTCTTCAACGATCATTGAGTCCATTAAGCACCAATTTCGAGGGATTTATTCCGGGTTAATTTTT